GTTCGGCTTATTCCAAATACCAAGAGAAGCGCGTTCATCAAGAAGCGATGACTCCTGCGAAAAAGCTCCTGTTTACCCTGTCTAATCAATATGTAAAGACCACGAATTACGACGAGGCAATACAACGCTGTGAAGAAATATATGTGAAATGGCCACCCCCATTTCCAAATTTCCTTTGCTCGAGGCCAGTCAGGAACTGGCTCAGGCCAAAGTTTTTTGTTTTCAGCCATCATTAAGTTCCTCTTGCGTTGTTGACTTGGGCACAAGCACGCAAAGCTGTGATATGTTGTTTCAGACAGGTTTAATAGTGTAGGCAGGTGATGTCATAGTAGTGTGATTGGTCCATGGTAACAAATTGTTAAAGATAATACCATTCTTCTTTAGGGAGATTAAGTAATATATACAAAAGTCAATTTTCTTTCTTTTTCTGTTACTGTGTCGACCTTATCTGTTCAGCTAATGAGAACTAAAACTTTAATTCTTAATGGAAAGTGCCACTGATAGAAGTTTATTGATATCTGCACTAGATTTTCAAAGATTTGAAATTGAAAGAAGTGGATGATCTCTGAAAAAAATTTTGTTATGAATACCAAATTTATTCAAGATTTCATCAGTTTTGACATGCTTTTGAAAAAGCATTGACAATGTTTATATTTCGTATTTGCTACATTAAGTTTGAATTCAGGTTTAGAATATTTATCAATAATTCAAAAATAGAGACCTTCTTTCGTTGCTTAAATTAACCCATCACGTACCGGTCGTACAGGGAAATTCAGCTTCATTACGGGGCTCCAAAAATATATAATACTGAATAATTAAAACAAACACACTCATCATTTGTTGAAAGAATTAGATAAGCTTTTTAGAAAATGTTTCTGTGGAAAATAAAGTGCTTTGTCAGGATCGAGTAAAGATTTGTAGAAATTGGGGAGCTTGAGCAACGACAAAGACCACGACAGTGAAAATGTCGCTGATAAAATGAATTTGCGTTTTATTATAACCTTTAGCGTGTCTATTTGCACCCTTCCCATTTGTCAAATGTAGGCGATTTCTCCTGGAGTTGAGTTCCTAAGGACTTTATCTAGGCTCAACAACAGTAAGGAAAAATTATCGTCTTATGTTCACGTCCTTCACAAAACGTTGCATTGGGTGGTTTCTTGACGGCGTAGTCGTGTGGTGGACGTCAAGAAAAGGAGTTTAATAGCGTGATGTACGTATAGAGCTGTTGTTTTGCGTCGTCGTCGTTACTTAAGATCCGTAATAGACATAGTGGAATGCAGATTAAGGTTACCTTGGCACCACTACATCTCGTCGGCAACGAACTCGCCATCTGCTTAAAACGTTGTAATGATAATTGACTCACTTAAGTTTACGATTAAAGCTAATATTTGAAAAATAAAGGTTGAAATTTTCAAAATTCTGTAGCAAAATCAATTGTGTTTTAATTTGTTTCTTCAAAACGAGTTATAGCCATTTCATCGTTTATGTCGCTGGACTGTCCTGAACGCAGTTTCGGTCAATAAAACTGTCTCACTGCCTTTTTTTTTTGGAATTAAAGTTGTATATATTTATATAATAGATCATGTGTGTCACAAACTTTGGAAAACGAGGGAAGCCTTGTTTTACACTGATATAAATACAGTAGAATTCTGTCATCGCTCTAGCTATAGATAAGTTTCATTGGGCCGGAGCGGCAGGATAAAAAATCGCTGCAATCGCTCTGAAACGGCCAAAAATGCCAAAAACGCACACTAATTTGTATGACTATCATGTCATGGTGAGGTCAGCATTTTTTGGTCAAAACTAAGATGAAATTTTAACTGAGTTACGTCAGTCATGTTTTCTCATACTTGGAACTCTAAAAGAAAGATACTCCCAAATAAATCTATTAAAAGAAGAGAAAACTAAGTACGATCCTTGGTCATTTTTCTTTTTTTTGACCTGGGAAATTTCTCATTTTATCAAAGCACTGAGCGGGAGTAACGACAACTTCGAGTTAAACTGATTTCACGGGTTGTCAAAGAGTCCAGCGATTCCCTTTTCCCAGGTGAGCGCCGACTCATTTCGCTTCAATATTCAGGAATGCTCTCGATCTCTTTACGCTTTCATTGCCTTTCGCCCGACATGTTTTGCACGGCGTTTAGTCATGCGAAACCTCCACGAAACATCCACGCAGCGCGCGAGGTAACTTTATCCCGATTCTAAAAATAACTCGAGACGAATTACCTATGGAATAGGGTGTGTATGGGGGATGTCCTCTTTATCCTCTCTTGCTTTTATAACGGTGTTCTCTCTGTTCTGCGTGCCAGAGGGTTTTTTTTTCTTTCCTAATTTCTGATAGTTCGCGGCCAGGCGTCGACAGCGAGGCGCCAAGCACGGTAAACACGATTTATTTCGTCTTAGGAATTTTGAGAATGGACAGAGGATATGTTCTCTCGTGATTTAGGCCAGGTTTAGTGTGGTCATTCTTCTTAAGGTTTTGGCCGGTAAAAAATTGGCACCGACGGTGACCGACCGTTTACAGAAGGGAACGAGTAGGCCGCTGCGACCAATCGCGATGAAATGGTGGTTTGAAATCGCCCTACAATTTCCGAGCACGATAAAAATTTCACGAAAAACCGCTTGAACTCTCGCCTCTTCATATATCAAAACTGATAAGGAAGAAGAATGCGTAATGAGTCTCTAACGGATTGCTTGTAAACTTTTAATCACCTTTCTGCATAGGAGAGCAAATGTTCAGTGAAAAACAGGTTCAGCTCTTGCTGACGAACTTAAATTTCACCTGTCGTGGCCGATTTAATCCTCACCGTAAGAGTTAAGTTTTAAAACATGTCGAAATGAAATGTCTTAGGCGGCTTTGTTTAAAAAGACAAACTGAAAAGAAATCACACTGCAATGATCAAACACCATGGCTCTATTAAACACCAAGCTGTTAATAGATGTCTATAATAAAGCTTTAAATTCAATACAATACAAAACAATTATGAATACTAAACAAGACAATAAAATGATTTTATTCACATTTCTGTTTCTCGATTTATAAAGTTTCCTTGTCTACTATATGTTAAAAAGGTATGGCTTTAATTTGAGAAAATTAAGGGAAAAAAATAGAAATGCCTAGGGCCTAAATACATCGTAAGGTTTTCGAGTTAGACTCAAGACCATTTATGTTTGTGACTCAACAACAAATCCAAATGACACGTGCAGCACTAAAGATAACTTAGAACAGGAAGAAAAAAGCACATGAATAAATGTACCAAAGTGTGAAAGCAGTAAATTAATAATTAATCAGCTGAAAAGCATGCAAATAAAGAAAGATGGGTGAAAAATATAAGCAATATTTATATGTGAAGTCACTCTCTCTCTCAAAGGACACCTCTGTAAGACGAATACATCCGTAAAACGGTCTTCTAGAGTTAGTCCCTGCCTTTACTCCCTTTATTTGACCCTCTATAAAACGGACAACTCTCTTAGAAGGACACGTAGGGCCGGTCCAAAAGGTGTCTGTCTTAGAGAAGAATTGTCTGTATACGAACAGGCATTAATGACGAAGAACCGAGAGGAATCAAAAGATCAATGTCAGTGACTGGAGCTGATTCAGTTTATGGAGATGTTCTGTAACATTGGAGTGCAATGCTTCTATTGCCATCATACTCCTCTGCTATGGAGTATGATTAAGAGAGGATGATCATGAGCTCTCTTGGTATGATTTGCTGGATCAGTGTAAGATTCTAGGAAACTGCATGCCCATCTGCCTCTTGCCTAATTCCACTCTTATACTAACTTCTCACTTGGAGCAAAATGGAGGTATAGGAGAGGGGGTAGATGGACAGTTTTGATTCAGAGAACTGCCCACTACCCCTCCCTCAACCCAAAACTAACCCTAACTTCTCAATTGAGGCAAAAATGTTGGATTAGGGGAGGGATAGGTGGACAGTTTGCCAGAATCGTATCTGAATTTTGATGAGCTGGTATTCCCATAACTGAAAGGGGTGGGAAGTTTTGAAACACTGAAATTTCATGGTGCAGGATGCTAAAATAACAAACAAACAGCGTCCAAGAAATATACTTTGTTGTCCAAAAAGATCTATTTCGCTGCGGAGTGAGTAAAGTTTGGACTCAGTCGACACATTACTTCAGCCTTCAGCAGGAATCTCGAACTTGATATTGAAATTCGAGACAGTTTTACCGCCACATTAACGCATATATATGTGCCATTTATCTAGATCAATATATATGCGCTATCATGAGCGGGTGTGAATGTTAGTGAAGTTCTTTCTGGAGTTTTTATCGACCGTGACGAATGAAGCCAATATGCAGCCATCTTGCCTGAACTAAACTGTCAATAACGGTGTTGTTTATCATATGGCCAAATTAATTTTTTTCTTGCGGAAACAAAACGGGAAATCCCGAGCGCAGCCCATCTACTCCGCTCGACAGAAGCCAATCAAAACGCAGAGTAAATTCTCTTCATCTTGCAATTTGCGGAGTCTTTGTACAATATAGAATTATATACTTCAAAGCCTAAAGCTTGTTTCACTGGACCATCCTGTTCTCAAAAATTCCTTGGTGTAATCTTTTTATCTATAATCACCGTAATCATAGGCCATAACTTGAAATTTTAAAAAAGCTCATACTTGAAAGTATGAACAAGTGACTATGACGAAAGGGTTCAATATAGTAGATAGTCTGGATGAGGATCTTATCTACGTATATCTACGGAGAGCAACACCTCTAAAGGAAAGTATGTAATAGTTTGGACTGCTTGTTTAGAAATGCTAAAATTCCATTGAAACTAAATACTAAATACGGCTTTGTTATGGGAAATGAGAAGTTGTATCACCCAACGAAGTGACTTCATGTGGTCGCGAAATTAAAAATGGATGTTGATCCGTTTTAACTCATTTTCTTTCTGACTCGTGACGGTCATTTAGGAGATTTGATTCACCACCATCTATTGATATCACTCAACTCAGTCAGAGGACAAATCTAATTAATCCTTACACTGAAGTCTCTGGAACAGAATCATCCTTCATCAAAGAGTTAAACCTCTTTAGAAATTGTCGTAAAAGTGTATCATTCCCAATTTCCACGGCCATCTGAAATGGCGTAAGTCCATCCTCATTTTCAGCGAACGGGTCCCAGTTTGCTTTCAGCAAAAGTGAAACACATTTTTTGCTCTTTCCACAGACAGCCGCGTGGAGCGCCGTCCAACCGTCATCATCGTGTATTTTCTCGTCAGCTCCGTTGTCAAGAAGATACTGCAGGCATTCAAGGTTTCCTTCGTAGGCGGCTCCGTGTAACGCGGTGGCTCCTTCGGCCGGAGTCTTAGCGTTGACATCCGCCATTCCTGACTCTACCAACATTTTAACCTCCTCCAAGTCGTTGGTCGTTGCAGAGTAGTATAGTCTTATGTCGGGATGAAAGCTTACACTCCCAGGCCTTCTATACTTTTTTTTGCACGAGTCCTTTTCCTCTATCATGTTGCTATTTGACGAGTCGTTAACAGAACATATTATTTCCGGTGTCGAAGACGCTCTCGCTAAAACATTTTTTGGGGATAACAATACAGATGGTGGAATGATGGCGTCAGTTTCTGAGAGGAGTGCTTTTCTTTTGTTCACATTTCGCTGGGCCATGTTGTGTGGTCATTAATTAGGCGAATATGTTCTTCAAATACATGTAAAAGCAGACTCATTTCAGTGAGTGTACTTTAGACTCGACTCTGTCACGATATGATTTCAAACTCATTCCGAATTAACAGTTCAACAACACTGCACTGAGTTGGAACGGCCCTAACAATGTTGAACGATTTTCTTGTAGTGCGATTTGAGTGAAGTGGAAAAAATATTCTTTCGTCACACTAGCTCATAAAGGATCCTGTACAACCGTGAAAATGCGCCTTAACACATGCAGTGCTGTCTTTTGTTGTTCTATATTTAGGCGATTTAGGGGGTGAGCACATTTGTTTGTAGAAACCGCTTGACTAATCTTCGTTGTAAATTACCTAGGATGAAGAAAACACATGATGTTTTGAAAAGCAATAACACCAATCTCAACAGAATAAACAGAAATCTTGATTTTTCAAACATTTCTTTCCGCTCACTTGAACTGGAGAGGCACAAGAAACTGAACACAAATTAAAGAAAAAAAGAAACTCGCGTGCGTTTTGACCCAGTCAGACGAGCTCGTGCGTGACTAGCAAGGATGGTTCGTTCCCGTGACGTCATTTGCCTGTACGGTTTAGGATAACAAGCATTTGAGCATTTAAAGAGCAATTAACCCCATATCATGGATATATACAAAAGCTGCGGCGTATTATCAGCCTTATTTCTCAGGCTTGATTTAGTTCTTGAAGTTTTTGTGAAGCACAGTCGCTTGCAAACAACGAATTTGCGGCCTTTTAGAAACGCCGTCACATTTCAGTTACCTTGGTAATGACTCGTTTATACAGTCTACCAATTACTGAGTGAAAACCACAAAAGCCAATACAGTACCTTGCACGAGTCAAGTGGAGGAAACGATTAAATAAAGCAGACCTATTGTATTCTTTTCACCACCTATTTCTTTAAATAAACGAGAAACGTTTTAAATTGCTGATAGAATTCGTGTCACGGTTATTATGCTCACACGAGCTCACGTCTATATTCCCCGGATGGTCAGTGGTCTGTCTGTTCAGTCTTAATAACACAGATTTCTATCTCATGGATACTTGGCAAGCTGGTACCCGCACTTCTTAAAGGGCCTGTATCGGTTATCTAGATGATTTTGTTAATATTGCCAATTACGCTTTCGTATTCGTTTTGGAAGTTGACGTTAGCGAAGAAATAACTTGTAAACGGCAAAATCACAGCTTCGTCCAACAAATATGTCCCCAGGTAGTATATATTAAGCACTATAAACAACAAAACTGACCTTTGCAAAACTGTTAGGCTAACAAGTTTTTTCAAAACCCACCATCAGTTGCAATCCGTCCCAATCTCTTTCAAATTTGTCCATCCATACCCTCTTCTGTATTTACCTTGTTATTTATACCTTCTGTTAATGTTTTGAGCGGTTATTTTTATGTTTTACTCAAATTGGTGGCAGTTCCTACTGTTAAAACTTCGATTAATTTTGTGACACAACTTCTTTATGTTCAAAGTTTTTTATTTGCATCTTTCCCATGGAACTATATGAAGGATCTAAAACCACCACGAGTCCACCGACACACACGGTGCATTGTAAGATAACTTTTTAAGAAGCCTTTGTTCTCCTTTTTTTGTTGTGGTCACAGCCCAGAATTAGCGTGAAGAACATGGCATGCTGTTCTGGTCCTTGAATTTACAATCAAGTGAGCTTTAACATGTTTCTACTTTTCCTAAAAACCAGTGAAAATTAAACTTCTTTTAGGTAATCTTTTTAATATCTATTTTTTTTATTTTATTGTCATTATTGTTATATGTTCCGATTTTAGCTGCCTTTCAGATGCATTGCACAAATTTGTTACTCCTACCCCCTGCCAAAAAAAACCTTCATCAATCATTCCAAATTTCCGTTTAGCCAAGACAAAGCAATCTTTGTTTGGGAATCTTGATCTCTGCAAGTAGCATAGCTGCTTTTTCAGTTATACACCAGGAGTCAGAACTAGCAATCAGAGATTAATAGAGTGCGTTGGACATGTTAACAGCTAGTGTACCAAATGTTGACCTTAGTCAAAAATAGAAGGGAAACTTCATTTCGGTCATTTCGTATATGGTCCCCATTCTCAAAATAGTGAGGGATGCGCGAAGCATAAAAGAGTTACTTCAAGGATTCTGTATCGGGAATACGTCGTAAGCCCTGTACTTTCTAAGGTTATGAGCTTCTGCTGAGTTTTACGTCCATGTTTGCTCGCGTATTTCGTATATGGCCCGTGAGAGATGCGTGAAGCTGAAAAGAGTTACTTCAAGGATTCTGTATAGTGAAGACGTCATCAGCCCTTTACTTTCTAAGGTGAGTTTTACATGCATGTGTGCTCACGTATTTCTTTCGCTCTTCTATCCGATCTTTAAGGAAAATTTTAAAAATTATTTATTTGCAACTCCACAAAAGGTACGTGACATTACATAATCATATAAATTCCCTGGATGACAACAGTAGACAGCTAAAAACACTAAAAACAGTACATAGTGCGAAAAAAAAAAAAAAACAAAACAAATAGATGAAAAAAAAAAAAAGGAAAATAAATATTATAAGAAATTGGAATGATTACATATTGTGCTCACAGAAAAAAGGTATTACTAACAACAAGTTATTGGCCTCTTTGATACTGTCTGTGTAAGCTTTGGTCAAGCGTGAAAAAAGCTAGTCTTCCTCGGTGAACGCTAGTTTCCATATCTCAAACCGCCCTTGGATACCTTGTGATGCCTGCGCAAAGCAGTTTTGGTGAACATGGGCCTTTAAAAAAGATTTCATTTATGAACAGAAGATTTAGGATATTGTTTGAACAAAGAAGTATTTTAAACTAGAATAAGAGGAACAAAGTCACATAATTTCAAGGTGAATAATTCACTTAAATATAAAGTCAGATGTCCACTGTCTGTTTCATTGTTTTGCATGCGTAGTTTTGCAAGCGTAGTGTTCTATAAATAAAGTCAGTGTTAAAGTTTGTTCTTTCTAACTCTCCTTACTCTTTTATGTTTACAATTACCTCTTTTAGTGTTCTCTATTTCTAAAAAAATTTAGGCTTCCTTCAATCTCGAGATTGTTTTTTTAGTTTCAAAATAGTGGCAGAAAGTATCCTGACGGAACTTCTCTAATGGCGTGAAGGCCCGAAAGGACGAAAAACAGAAGTTAAAGGAATATAAGCCCCTTCTACAGCCTAGTTCGAAGGCATCTTCTTTTCCACGAATACTCTACTCTTCAATCGATAGGTCATTTCCAAGTTCCAAAAACTTTCTCTTTCAAAACAAGGCTAAGTACAAAACCTTTCTTTGTTTTCATATCAATGACTTTGCACTTAGACTCGCTTTGAAACAGAGGCCTCAAGGGCAACTCGGAAATGGCCTACAGCAGTATTACACCATCAAGTCCATCGCTGGCCCTTATATTTCGCGCCAGATGGAGTTTAAGACCTACACCAAGGGCGTCGCAACAAGTTTCTACAAATTTTTTTGAAATACTAGACTGAAAATGAAGAATTTTTTCATTTCACGCCTTCTCAATTAACTAATAATTATCTAACTTTTTCTTGAATGTAATTCTTCTCTCCTTTCCCAATTTTGAGGATCGCATTAAATGGGAAATACGTGAAACAACATTGCATTGTAAGGTGACAAGTGTTTCATTAAGTGTAACGAGTACTGTTCACTTGTGGGGTAGGCACGGAATAATATTTTGGAGGTCGGCCATCTGAACTGTACAAAATCAACTGAGCAAAGATTGTCTACAGAGAAAAAAAAACAAACGCTTGACATTAGAACTTACACATACAGTGGTGACACCGCGATTAATCTCAGAGTTCTTTACAGGGGCGGATCTAGGGGGAGGGTGCAGGGGGTGCGCATCCCCCCCCCGGATGACCTGCGGCCGCTTTCTAATTAACACTGTGCAGTCGCTTCACAGTCATACAAAATCTGCTCTATGGTTTGGTATGTATTCTCAGCAGTTCACATTATGTTATTTCCTAGTCAAAAGCCCTCTTCTTCGTATTTGCTTTTGAAATTTTTTACGTCACCAGTCAGTTAGTGGTGCACCCCCTCCTAAGAAAAATCCTGGATCCGCCCCTGCTTTATGAAAATGAACAATGACATAAGAGGATAACCTCTATCTTTTTGCTTTTATGTAATATCTTCGACTTTACTTATGAAAAACACGTGCGTTCATCGCTAAGCCTCCGTACAACGGGGAACGGTCGAAAAATTAACGAGTTTTAATACGCGTAACATCGCTCTTCTCCTTTGGGCAGCTAATTGATATCGTTTACATTATTTCAATGGAAGGTCTAGCTTACTGTGATCTTTTTCGTCAAAAACTCTCGAAGTTTTTGCTCCTTTTCAAGATAGCACCGGTTTTAATGGTCGATAATTACACTGGGAAAACTGAAAACGTGTCCTCAACAGTATATCAGTCATAACCAATCGAAACTTGGACTTCTTCGAATACTGATTAATTGATTACATTTTTATCAGTTTCCGTTTCTTAGCTGGTGTAACTTACCTTAAATGCTTAGTGACACGCACATCTTAGAAACCGCAAAAAAGTAAGAAAATGTGTTACTGAATTATAAACATCGCTAAACGGCTTTACTAAATTGCTTTAAAGATAGTAAACAGACTCACATAGTGTTCGAAATTAAGAAAATGCCATGGCGTATTCCCACTGATTTTGTCTCGGTAATGTGATTTTGTAATAATTTAAAAAGATTTACTGATATGCTAATACACAAGAGTTTTATTATCGTTCTATTTTTTGAGGTCAAACGAGGGTACAACTGTACTCTGTTCGAGTTCAAAGAAAAAATGACATCTGATTCTAGAATTAAAAGTATTATTTAATCACCCCCATCTCATATTGGTCAGGAAAGTACCTGTCTGCTACAAAAAAAGTCAATATTTTCATTTTCGAGGCAAAAATGAGTTTATTTGTTTAAGCGGCCTTAAGGCTGTAATTTACAGATTTCTTTCCGTTTCTTAATTATCGCCTTCCGAGGCCGGAACAAAAGAAGTGTTATAAACAGCCTTGCATTTTCTTCTCGTTTCTTTTAGTAATGCCGCACGTACAACATCGCACGCGTGTACAGTAATCAACGTTTTAGTCTAAACGTTGTCTACAGCACTTAGGTTAAAACATTTTCGGGTAATCTAATTGGCAGCTAGTATTATGACAGTCACTGCTTTTACAAAGTTTTTTTAGTGCTTAACTATCTTGCGTAATTTCTAAGCGTAGTTGCATTGTTTGCGCGAGAGGCTGTATGAAATTAGCCTCCCAAAAAAACCTGCTAATCTGTCCCTGGAGTAACTGACATTGTTTGACGCATTCGTCATAGCCAATAGTTATTATTATCAAAACTCGACATGTCAGACGACGGAAGAAAGACAGGTAGAAACGACCTGAACTGAGTTAAACAAATGTCTTTTTTCATTTTCACCTCTCAAATCAATCCAAGTCCATTTGCAATCTTTTTGGAGCAGTTTTTCCTCCACGAAAGCCACTGAGTTGAGTGTTGGAACATCGGTTTCCATCTCAAAGGTAAAACCGAGCTGCAACCAGTCGAAATGACGACGAAACGACAGACACCCAAAATAAAGATCGATTTCTGGGACGACAATATGTGTTCTGGCGCCGGAGAAGGAAATGCAGTCGCCGAAACTGAGAAATTCTGTGTGAAGAAGCTAAAATCGAAATTTATTAAACCCGACCGACTTAAGAGTCAAAGAAACAAGCTAAGGGAAGCGGTAATGAACGACAAACCCGATGATATCCCGAGAATCATCAAGGAGGAAGGAATCAAAATCAACGAGATCGGCAAGAGCAGTGTTCCGCTGATTCACGAGGCAGCTTTTGAAGGAAGAATAGAATGCGTGAGAGCGCTGTTAGATTGCGGGGCAAAAATCAACATGTGTGACGCTGAAGATTGGACTGCCCTTCACGCGGCTGTTTTAGGGGGACATGTGGAGCTCGCTAGTGTTTTAATTCAAAGGGGAGCGGATATGTACGCCGAGACAAACGAGAAGTACATTCCTTTCCACATTGCGATTGAAAACGGCGACGAGAACATGATAGCACTGTTTGTTGACAAGATGTCGCAATTGTCGGCGTTTGGTGGGAAAGGATAGTCTGAAACATGTACTATAGCATGGAACTGGATTTGTAAGGTCAATTTATGCCTTGAAAATGACTTACTTCAGAGTATCTAAAGACATGTAATTAATATAGATGACACGCGTGCAAAACGTCTGCGCATGCGCAAGGTCTCTATTTTCAATAATTAAAATTTGCAAAATCTTCGCCATTAAATTGAAAAACACTTAGGAATGTTTGATATGTTTAATGGTCTGCAGCCAGTTCTAGTATTAAGCACAACAAAAAAATTACTTAAACTAACTTAACTAACTAACTGGTAAAGTCGTCCAGTACAAGGTTTTTCCGTCCTTGTTTTTCCACTTAGCATGCATTGGTCGTTTTCGTTGTTCGCATTGACCGAGCTCAGCGACATGATGACCAAAACAACAACAATGGCTACGGCGATGTGCTGCCAGAGCGAGCGTGGACTTTCAAACATGATTTTCGCCTTTGGTGCAAGGAGGAAAGTATGTGGTGCAAAAGAGAGAAACTAAAGCAATTAATAAACTTTGTGTTCGTGAAATTCTAAGCTTATCTTTTGTGTGTGGAGCTTACTTTTTTGAATTTCGTGGCCGGAATCTAGTTTGTTTTGGTATCGCGTATAATTTCGATTGGGGGAGACACTGGCAAATTCGCGCCGAAAGCAGGGAAGGCACGCATGCGCACTGCGTTTTTCACGCGTGTCAATATAGATTGTGTTACTAACTTCAGGCGTAGGTCGCGGATGAGTCACAGGCACCAAAGGGTACAGAGGGAGGGGATCGAAACAGTCAACAGTTCGAAATATACGCATGGGATTATTCTGTCACCGATAGACTCAGTCTATTAGAATGGTAGTTGTAGAAACTAGGACTGCGGCTATGATTCCCACACACAATAGGGTTGAGCTACCTGTGGATGAACCATTCATTTTACTCGTCAATGTGTGCGTGCTATCTGGAATGACAGAAGCACATAGCTTTGCTCGAAGATCAGGCTCATGCGATTCCTAGTCATGTCGGCACTAGTCTAGTACACCCGTGAAACATGGACCCCAACAGTGCAGATTAAGAATAAATTAGGGGCCGTAGAGATGAGATGCTTTCGAAACTACACTTGGTATCTCCTACTAAGTCCACATCACGAACGAGGAAGTGAAAAACAGAAGCCATTGGGCCCTACGATGGCATTCTAACATGGCTTGGGTTAGGAAATCAGGCCAAGTATAGCCGTGCAAAGAGTAGCAAGGAAAGAGGACAGAGAAACTCGGGGTGAGGGGGGGGTACTTTCTTATAAGAGACTAATAGGGATGTACCGCTGGATGAGGTCGCATTTTCACGACTGGATTGACTATAATGGGGTCGCATTTACTAGAATGAGTTACTAGAATGAGGTCGCACATTTTCGGATTTTTTGGGATAAGACAGTTCTTCATATTTACGGTTAGCAGATGTACCAGAATGTTTGTACCGTAGATGAAAAGTAAAGTATTCTTCATTCAGTCTAAAAAATGCGTCAATTCATAAAAATAGAGGGTGACTAGACTAAGTTGGGATCGCGAAAATTACATATCTGCTTAAAAAATGACTAAGATGGGGTCTGTAATTGGCCACAGGATAGATTATAAGGGGGTAGGGGTTCTGAGAGGCCAGCGGCACATACCCAGCAAAAATTAACCCCCTCCCCCCCCCCGAGGAGAAATGCTGAGAGGACAACATATCGAAGTGGACAGGTTTGAAGAAAGAGTGACAATAGGGACCATTTGAGTGACAGGACAGGTGACAGGACAGGTGACAGGACAGGTGCAGGTGGTATGCCCACAGGCCATGTACTGTATGCTGATTCCCAATTTGTCATTTAATAGCCTGAGTAGAAAGTCTTTGCAAAAGATTGAATTTTTAAATTCATAAAAACACGACAGTAGAACAGCTATAAACTAACATTATGGTCTTTCCAACTTAAGGGGCCGTGTCGCTTGTCCTATTGGCTACCATTTAATAGCCTTTGTAGAAAGTCTTTGAAATCGAGTTATTGCGCAAAAATTGGAGCGAGAGCAAAAGAAATCGAAGATCCTCTTTTTTGCTCTCGTGCTAACATTCTCGACAAACTCGCGTGAAAACGCTTGCTACCGAGTCTATCCTTTTAAATAGTTGAAACTGTTTTTGCATCAATTGAATTTCGAAAATAATGGTCCAGGTTTGTTATATAAGGCCATATTTAGGCCGAAACTATTGAAAATTCATTGGTGGGTAAAGGTAGTAAGTAGTGTCTTCAGCCACAGAGTTTACCTAAAGCAGTAATATGGTGTTTGAATTCTCCGTCTTCTTTAATATAAAAATACAGTCTTGGGTTTGTACGCTGGTGGACGGCCGAATTTCGAGCAAGTCCCCGATGCAATTCTAAACGTCTGGTGTACTTGTATTTAAATTCCGACCCTACTCGCCATTAGAACTAGAACTCGGAGGGTCGTGAGTTCGATTCTCACCTGGAGCTCGGAAAATTTTTCTGAGCTTTCTGGTGTTTGAATTCTCCTTCTTCTTTAATATCCTCGTTTCACATAGCCCATAAAGATTAGGAAATGCGGGCCCACCAACCCAGTTGACCTTGAGATTACTGAAAGTACACAATGGGGAGGTCATTGGTGGGATGGCATTGTATATGCAGAATAACAAACAGAAAATTGTATGTAGAGTAACAAACACAAAATGCTAAGTGTTAAGAGGTATTCTAAATCATATATTTGAATAGTAAAATACAGAACAATTTTACACCTCACAATGCAACTCAGTGAGGACAACAGTTAAAACAAATTATGGTATTACTCTGGAAAATTCAACTCAAGCACCAATGACGTCAGACTTCAATGCAAATAGGTTTTCGGTAGCGTTTTCGTGGTTAAGGAAGGATTGTTTACTTATGGTGTTTTTAATTCCAAGTCGCATTAATAATGAATAAAAGTGATGAATAACCTAACAAGGCCCATAATCTGTTTCCCTGTAAACGTGGTAGTTGATGATTAACCGAAAAGCCGATATTTTACTTAACCAATGAGGTGCAGGCGATTTTATTGATATGCACTTTGCTAATTTAGGAACAAGTAAGAACATTATCCATTATCCCAAATCCTTGGAGCGTTAAAAATTTTATGAGCTAGAATCTTCAAACTATTAGGTCATTAATTAAAGTTTGTGTGCTATTGGAATACCCCCCATGTAGATCTTAGACACCAAAACCCTCCATGTAGCCCATGATGTTTTGTGTCAACATGCATTTCATACGCTGTTACTGTATGGTCGCTCCGCGCTGAGCGCTCGCACTCGTGAGAGCTGTAGTTATTTAACGCATGACACAGTCTCTGCGACGGATTAACATTTCCGCCGGCTTTAAAGTGGCTGTTGAGGTTTTAAGTGTGTAGATTGTCAAGAATAATCAAGGTCTTTTGCAACTGTCGCATAATAAACGAGAAAATCTCGTTAGAGTCGTTTACTGAGATCGAAAGAAGCAGCCGAAGTCATTTTACTTGTCATCTGATTTGTACACAAAGATGTCTCTACCAGAGCTAACTGTCGGTGAAGTCAACTACAACAGCATAGAACTTAGATGGGATACCTCAGAGAATAACAACAGCAATAATAACAAGAAGCGAAAGCTGTTCCACGTTCAGCTCAACAGGGCTCGAGCTAGAAGTCCTTGCCCTGGCGGCCCGTCGCTCGATCCTTTAACGAACTACCAAGGGTTCAGCGTGCAGTATGTGTTCAAAGGCTTAGAGCCTATGACTCAGTATTTATGCCGACTGAGAGTTATGGACGACGGAAACGGCGGGAAGGAAGGCGGATGGAGTGAACCTATCACTGTCTGTACTGCCAATGAGCCGCCATCGGGAGCTGAACTGCATAAGGCTGTCTCCAAGCAAGAGTTGGAGAAAGTTCGAAGCATTCTTGAGGAAAATAGCACGGTTGTTGAGGTGATGGATAAATTCGGCTTGACTCCACTCATGATTGCCGCACAGAAGGGCTTTACAGGTGAGATAATTGACTATAAGTACCGAAGGATTTCGCTCAGATTTGTTAATACGTTTGAGCTGTGCAAGTTGGCTGTAATGCAAATTGCAAACGATGAAGAGGTTATTTGATGAACCAGTTAGTAAGTCTAAGTTACGTTTAAATCGCTGGAGAAACTGAGATGTAAACTTTAAAGAAGCAGCCATGGTTCTCAGAAATTTTTGGCGACATAATCAATCAACTGAATGATAAAGCTCTTGTACAGAATGGAGCTAGCAGAGGTACTGTGCCCTGTACAATACGATGTTTACATGAAGCAAATGCTCAAGTGTACACCCGCTTCTGGCACTGATCTCTTCTCGTTGTTACGCCAACAAGACATTTGATAAATTCTAGTCAATAAGTGACGTTCTACAGTCATGCTTGTAAGAGCCCCGTAATTACAAAGAAGACGGTCTTGCATAAGGAATTCAAACCTCACTAAAATATCGTACAGAATACAACAATTTCCGTTGTCTTTTGTTATTCCCAACTGCGCTAACAATGATTAAGTTTTTTTTTAAAAGATGTTACTCAATTTCTGGGATTACTTTCAACCAACATTCTCTACTAATCCCGATCGATTTTTGTCGACCATTTTAGGTTCATTTGCAAAACTTTTATGCTTCGAAAATAAATTTATATAGATTCTATCGTTAATTCTTTCTGATTATTCAAGTCCAAAGCACGGATCAAGGACTTTGTCTTCATTAAAATAACAATAACTTCAGCTGCCTTATGCCTTTTGTTTTTAACGGAAACAAAAAGGAAAAATGTGAGCTCATTAAAAAGCCTATTTATGATAATCACATAAATATCTTCGTGAATCAGCAGAATCAAGGTGTTTTAGAGTAAAATTTTCAAATCTGATTAAACCCAAATTAGTGAGTGAAAATCTGGCGGAGACGGTGATCATTTCTTGTCGATCTAGACAAAGCTTCTTCCGCCGAACTGCAAAAAAAGAATTAACAACCCCTTGCTTAAATAAACAGGCCTTTTACACTAGGGTCTTTATTCAACTGGAGATTAGTTTTGTTCAAATAAACAAGAGCCAAACGCATTAAAAACGATTCAAAGCAGATACAGTAGACCTTATGAACTTCCTCTCGCTGTTTTATGTGCTTGGAAAATAATAAGAATTATAATAATGTCTCTCCTACTTGTTACTACCCAATCTTATTCACAAATTGGGCATTGAGGTTCTGTTAAAGTTTCTTTCAGTACTCAGGTATTTAGACACTTACCACGGTAAGTACACAATAAAAGAGCTTCAATCAATCTTTATGGTAATTTGAACATGAAATGTTTTAGGGTTGAAAATTCCAAAACTCAGAGCAAAAATTAAGGAAACGAAACGAATATTTCGTCCCCCTAAATATCTTCGTCAGAGCAGGTGAACAACCTTTTTGGTATATGAAGTGATTTGTTAATAACTCACAGATTCTGAAGCATCGAACAATCGATTTGTTGAATTTGTCTTTGGGGTTTCAATAAGCACGACAAAAACACCTGTTTTAAAGAGTAAGAAGTTTATAGTACACTCCCCTGCGGGGCTCTTCAGTGATACAAAAGAAAGCTACAATTCATTATCAAGTATATATCAAAAATATCTACCTAAAAACGAAAAAAAATCACCTAAGTTTCCGTTTTTAAAATTCCTATGATACAATAAAAAGTTAAAACCTACAAAACGCTCGCGGGATCAAGAAATTTGTGTAACAATATTTGCCTCAGTTTCTATTTAAAATCCCCATGATTCTTACTTAATTTGAGGTCTTTATCTAGCCTGCTCCACAAACTGACAACTTTGTACTGGAATGATCGCTGACCAGCAGCTTTAAATAAAGGGATATTTAATTGTTGTGAATTGCGTGTCACGCGGCCAGAAACTTGGCCTCTGGTAACTAGCTTGGTTGCGAGGTAATCTGGGACACAGCCCGTCATACAATTAAACGTAAAAACAGCGTTCCTCAGATATAATTGCTGTCTGACAGGTAACCATGACAATTCCCGGAGAACTGGAGAGATATGGTCGAATTTTCTCGCTCCACTAAGTATCCGGGCGGCAAAGTTCTGTACGTGTTGCAATTTAAGTGTTAGACCAGACCGCCGAGCAGTAAAATAATTTACAGAAAACAAGCGCGTTGATTAAAATCGCTAAATGTTCACGAAAGAGGTAATTGTGTGCAAGTCTCTTGTTAGGGTTAGCTGAGTGCCGGGCTTAAATTTGCTTGATAAGATCGTGCCTGCATTGTCCAGGCTTCATTATTCCGCGGTTCATGTGATTGAATTCCCGAAGGCCCCGGAAGACGCCTAGGAACCAATGCGAAACTTTGTCAATGAGTGCTTTAACATGACAATCTATTCTTGCACCGTCGAGGAAAAGAGAAATTTGATGACCGGGCAAAACTGTTCACTTGTCAGGAACTTTTAAGTTTTTGCGATAGTGGGCTATGTTCGGGTACAATTTATTTAAGACTTTTCAGATGCAGTAGCTTGTTCTCAGGGCAAACTCGTAGGCTCTGGGGACAAGATTCTCTCAGATGATCATAACTAAGGCAAATGCGTATGCTTTTGATCTGTGTCTGATAACATTTTTAATTTTTCCTATATAAAGTTGGCTGCTGTCTCTCTAACGCTCGCTAGCATGTGGATCAGTTTCCGTTTTATATCAGATTATTTATCTATAATTCATGTTCCTGTTCCTTTTATTTCTCTCCGGTTTCCCGTTGTTAGAACCCCGTGATCTTCAAGCTGAATCTCACATCAAATATTTAGCTGGTCTAATCACAGTTCATCCTCATATTTCTTTTCAGAGGTAATGGAGATCTTGTTAGAATTTAATGCAGATCCTGATTATGCCAACTTAGAAGGTAAAACAAGTTTAATGAAAGCTTGTTATGCTGGCCAAGAGGAAGCAGCACGGTTATTACGACAGCACGGTGCATCTTGGGAAAAACGTGACAGGAGTGGGCTGACCGCTGTACACTGGGCTGCAGACGGGGGCCACGATGATCTCCTTTTATGGGTTCTTAGAGATGGCGGCCCAGTCGACATCGAAGATACTGTGAACGGTTGGACTCCCTTGATGCGTGTTGCGTGCCTTTCCGGAAATGACGACGTAGCAGAAGTACTTATAGCCAAAGGCGCTAACATAAACAAGTATGACAAATCTGGCAAGACTGTACTTATGGCAGCTGCCATGAACGGCCATTTTAATTTGGTTCGCTTGCTTGTTGACAAGGGCGCAGATATTTACTTGGAGAACAGGGAGGGGAAAACAGCTTTGGAATTCGCCCGTTCTATGGAACGTCATAGCATTATTAGATATCTCGAGTTCCAAGTGGCGAAGGAAGAAAAACAAAGGAAGGCTAAGCTGTTGGAAGAGAAACTTAAGGAAAGTAAACAGAAACTAGATCAATTACAAATGAAAGTTAAATGAGAGATAACAGAGACCTTTAGACTCTAAGACCAGGACGACCACGAGGTACTAGACTTTGTCAATATTAAGTAGCGCTCGCGCGAAAGCCAGCGTCATTTTGGCGGGAAAAGGTGATAGCCGTTTTAGCGAGAATGTCGTAGTGGCGGGAACAAGTTCTCAAATGTTAGAAGTTTTATCATTTTGCGAACGGGAGAGGAATTAACCACATTCCATAAAAATAACAGTGCTTAATTTTTTCGAAAAAAAAGACAGTGTACTGAAGCTTACCAGGATGCTTATTTTTTGAGGATACGCAAAAAAACAATTTCTTCCTCAAAGTCGTCCTCGTCCTGGAATCTAAACGTCTCCTACAGTTACAGCTAGTGGTCTCCCTATCTTGTATGAATTTTATCCAAGGTAATGATGGAATAATTTTGATTGGTACCTTCAATTTCTTTTGGGTTTTGACAGGGTCATCCAACGACCGAAAGTTTCCAAATACGTCTCAAGTGTTTCAAATGGTTTTCTCAATCCTTAAGATGCCTGTCTGGTTAATTTGGAGCTGCCATAAAAACTGTATATCTGTTCGGATTTCTTTGGGGAACTTTGGTGGTCTCGAAAGCTGTAGGTGGCTTTTTTGTCTCCCTCGAAACTGTTAGCTACCCTAATCAGGCGTGGATTTAGGATACATACTGACCGGTTTCTTAAACTAATAGCGAGCACCGGAGGTGCAAGATTCTAGGGGGGGGGGGGGTCCAGAGGGATTCTAAGAAAGCTTTTGGATTTTAACTCCCCAAAGTCTTTCCTGGGTTTCTGAGTCATTCAGACAGGATATTGGCCAGATTTTACTCGGAAATTATTGTTTATTAAACATTTGTTTATTTATGAAAAATCTGACCGATTTTCGTAAAACAGTGGAACCCGTGTGGATCTGCGCCTGCCAATGGTTCTGGTCGAAAGTTCGAGGGCATGGAATAGCTGTACTTTCATTAGAAGACTTCTAGGGGACTTTTTTCTTATACAGAAGTTTTCAGGAGACTTTCTTTTTTGACAACAACATCTGTGGAATGAATTGTGAAAAATTCAACTCCTAAAATTGTAGATAAGTAAGTAGAAAAACTCCTTTTATCATAGACGAGTGGACGGTGTTTAGCCTTTATCGAGCTCCGTCGAGCTTTAGAAATTTCTAGACAATATTCGCCCTTTCGAACAGTTATTTTATAGAAAAACTTCGTTGGGTGCCCCTGTCTTGAGTGGACGCAGTCAACGATCGTATCGAGAAGTGTCCACATCCACTTAACCGCAAACTATTTTGATGTAGGCGTTTAAGTAGAACGTTTGTTCACTGAAAAAAGTTGTTAAGGCTTTATAGTCTTATAGTCTTAGTCTTAGGAAAGCTTAAAAAATGCAGAAGTAAATAAGAAACACTAAAATTTAACTTGTATTTTATTATATTCAAAATAATCTATCTGACTGGCCTAGCGTAACTTTTTTCAAATTAATTTAACTCGTGAGAAGAAATTTACGAGATGATCTAGAAAATGATGAACCGCAGTATGAGATTAAAAATCTTTGGGTGACGGATTGATTCTCCGTCATTTTCTGTGGTAAGTTAAGTCGGATTGTTTTTCAGGTGTTAGGTCTGTAGGGGAAGAGATTTAAAAAGAGCTGGTTGCAAGGAATTTTCATGGCTGCCTCGTTCTTGTAACTTGATTATGGTGTCATAAGTGCATAAAAGCATTAACGCTTTGATAGCTATTTTCAAAAAGTAAACGAGTGTCCAGCTTTTAAAGTTTATTAATCTACTTCTGGTCTCGACGCGTCAATGAGGCGCCCTTACCGAAGCAGCTGCATCTAATACAATGTGGGTTCCGTGACAAACAACTTGAGCATTACATCCCTACTCTTACCGTTTTCTCAAAAGAGGATTAACGTTCTTTCACGCTAAGTCTATTTCACTTTCATATCTCGACATCCTTTGTTGTTTTTGTAGGATTGTTTTGGCGCGACTTCATTCATGACTGCCATATTGTTATGTGGAAACATCATAAAATGCCAACTGTGTCATACATAATTGATACAATGTACTAGAATTTAGCTATAAACCATTTTGGTTATAATTCTATTTCATTTCACTCTTTTCCGCTTCAGTTTAACATGACCAATGAACAAGACTTCAGAAAAAACAACAACAATCAAGAACAATCATTGCACTTCTCATTCCTCTCTAAACCACTTAAAGACTTCTTTGCTGTGACCGAGGTTATTTTTGCTGGAAAAGATAAACTAATTATTTCGCCGTCCACCTTTTACTGCTCATTACATATCCATTTCGTGTCCTGAATATTCTGAGCTTTAATTAAAGAAATGGGGATTCGATTGACTAAGTATAAACGTTACACATCAATTCTGAACAAGTAAAACAGCTGTGCCAGTTTTTAAGGATGTTGATTAAGATGTAAAACACGACACTTGCTAGTTATAAAATCACGACTGACTCCCTTTAGAAAGTTGCCGTTATCTCTTAAGGTTGGTTTATACGTCACAACGCAGTAATCTAAAAGGAACTTATTATCTGAGCGGTACTTAACAACTCTTTGTCGTTGCCTATGTTTATACTTACTTCGTACGTCTTAATTTTAGGTTTCTAAGAGGAACATAGTAATTAAGCATTCCCCTCTTGGCTGGAGACTGACTTAACATTTGTTCATCTGAAGACCCCTCTCCCCGCACCCCATGTGTATCAGATTAACAAACTCCTCCGTTCGCACTGACCCTTATTGTTTAGAACACTTACAGTTGTGAAGTTTTGTCCTTGCGTCCACACTTATAGTGTAAGTAACGAAAAACGAAAACGAAGGTCCATCGAATTAGTGTGGACAGGTAAGAAAAATTGTTTTCGAAAACGCTGATATCATAGCAAGTCTTGCAACTCAGTTTTGCATGCCTTTAAATGGCGGAAATAGACGATAGCATCGACAGCGCTTAATATTGGAGCAAGGGACTGAGCAGTTAAATAGGTATCGTCAGATATTAGTTTTCGGTGGCTTTGTGTGAACGCTCGAAAACTATGGTAGAATATTAATGTGGATGTGAAAAACAAACAAACAAAACTTTTATTCACACATATTAAACCTAAATACAGTTGCCCTGCAAATTAGCAAAGAAACGCTATTCGATGCAGGGATAAGTAATCGTATTAAAAATAATGAAAATTAGTCAACATGACGATACAGAAGGTGATCTGTAGAGTTACGGGTATTATCTTAAAGCTTAATGTTGAATGATATTGGTGCGTGGCAGGAGAGGAAAATAAATGAAATGTGTAAATATTATAACATTTTCATTTTCTTAATGTCAGAAAGTATTTCTAAATATATATGTTTTGTTCAAATTACTCCCCAAAACTTTTACCAACTGAAATGTTTGTCCACAGAAAAGGTATAGTTTAAGAAAATCCTTTCTTGCCGAGGCTGCTCAAGAAAAAAAAAAACATCTCAATCGTTCACGTATAGACAGAACCCTTTAACACACACGACTTTCGTATGCGTTTACGAGCTCATGCAGACTAAAAAGCCTGTGCGAGTGGGCCGTGGAAGACAACTGTAATTGGCCTTTGACTTTTTCAATGTAAGTTCTCTGTTTACTGTTTGCTGTCTGGCCTGGTCGCGGCTCCTGAACATCTTAAACCTTTAATCCCAATACTAGTAGGCATCCGTTCGTCTCAGGAAAATATGGATTTTTGCTCTGGTCAAGGTGGACTCGACAGCGTCCCCGGTGGCTGCAGTATTCAACGCGGGAGTGGCAGTCTCCTCCGCAATTTGCGCAGATGTAGTTGGTGGCGTCTCTTCGGCGTTCTCTTCTTTCCCTACGTTGTTTTCTGCCTTCTCAGCGACCCCTTGGTTCACAGCCTGTCGCCACTGAGTGCGGTCGAAGCTGTGGTTTCCCAAGTCTGGGTGTTGATCTGCAGTGCTCGCCTCAAAGGCTCTGGTGAGCCTTTGGGGCGATAAGTTCCCAGAAACAGCTCGCCAGAAAGGAGCTCTACCTACTAATCCTCAAGACTGCTCTCCATACATTTCTTTGCAAAATAAGTCGAGAGAAAATGTTTCAAGATCAAGACATTTTCCCGTAGGGGATCATTTTCTTCATTCTTATAACCTTTTTCTTTGATTATGTATTAATATTGTTAGGAGAAAATTATGTTGGCTTAATGCAGGGGGTTTGAAACACTTGGGACCCAAAAGCTTATACCTTCCTTATAATTGTTTTCCTGTCTCAGTCTTGTTCAATGTAAAATGCCATGTTACAACCGTTATCTTTCGCTAAGGAACTAGCTACCACCGTATTAAATTCTACGATTACCTGTGCACGAACTAAAATACGACGGTACTGAGTTCTATCTGGTGATAAAAAAAAAAGTGTTAAGTGACTCATACTTTTCACTTCTAGACTTTGTCAGGTTCGCAATCATTTTTGCTGGAAATAAACCTCAATAACATCCAATATTCTACCTCTCCCATTCCCTTCTTTTTCTCAGTTAAAGTCAACGATATGTTGAACGGGCAGCTTGTGAGGCGGAATATTAAATTTCCGACGGTCCTTCCAAGACCGACGCAAAATATAATCAGGTAAGACAGGATGATTCAATTTAACGAGATACTGAAACAGTTTCCGAATAGTGCGGTTGTTTTCGGTATCGTTAGTGTAAAATAAGACAAAACAAAAAGATTTTCTTAATGGTTTAATACTCTCACAAGTCTAGAGGTACGAATTGGCTTAACTTAGGCTACATCTCATTTTGAAAGCTGCCATGTCATTATAAAGAAATGCAAATTTTTTAAGGCAATTTAAAATGAAACTCGATTTTGGCTCAGCAAGATTTCCAGTTAAATTTCGGTATTAACAAAAGGAGGACGTCAACATTTTAGTCTTTTAGATGTAATTAACATTATGCTGAATAATTATATAAAGAAGGCAACTTGTTGGTTTTTTTTCATCTCATAAATAAACTAATCTTGTCTTGACAACTAAAAGCTCTCATTAGTTGATTGGCTTCAGTTTCACATTCAATTTTTACTTTCTTTTTCATTTCTTGAACAACTTCACCTTACAAAATAAAACATTTCAGCGACAATAACTTGAAGATGTTTGAAAGCACATGCAGTAACGGCGATGGTTGTCTGAGAGCGAGAGCGTACTGTTTAACTTCCATTCTCGCTTTTCAAGTTAAGTTCAGTCTTAAGCTTCTGTTGAATGCTATGTAGATTTTCTTCAAAATCCTTCTCTAGCGTTGCTGATCTCTCCAATAAACTTGAAACCTTGTTCAGCTTCTTTAGCGCCTTGTCACATTCGAACAAGCTGTCGGAGTTACATTTTCTTAAAGGAGATTTGGAAAATTCATTTGGAATATCCGATGACCACTGAACGGATTTTTTATGCTGTCGATGTTGTTTCTCTGTATTGTCGACCTTCGTAGCAAGCTTTTGTGGTGCGCAAGTCGTGCTATGTGCCCGTCTTCTTCTTGTTGACGCAACTCGTCCCCGCATCATTTTGAACTCAACACCGATTCATTTTGTCCTTTCCTGCTGTTTACACGTCAGGAAAAGGTCTGTTTACAGATTTCAATGAGATATTCAAATTAATTCACCTGCCGTGTAACAAAGTAACATGTCATTGGCTATTGATATAAAGGTCGGGTGATTGATTCGGTTCTTAATGGCCTGTTTGCTGCGTTAGAGTGGATTTTCAATGTT